GAAGGGGGGTCCTCGATGGCCGCGGTGCCTCCCGTGTGCCCCCGCCGAGGAAAATCGAGCAGCGGGAGAGGGCCGAGCGGGTGGCAAAACGCAGCCCCGGCGAGGGGACTGACTTCATTTCACAGTGGGGGGGGGGATTTGGGGGGCTCGCTGGCATCCCCCACCCCGAAAAGTTTCGGGGGTGTTTTTGGAACGCGTCGCCCGGGGAGGTTTCTTGGTGCCAGGTGGTGAGGCGAGGAGCCTGCCGCTCGATCCCCGCTGCGGGCTGTTCCCCGCGTCACCGGGCTGCTGGGGTTCAGCGAGCGGGGCCATCCGAACCCGCGGGGAGCTGCTCTCTCGCCTCCCCCTCGTTTCGCGATGAGCTCTGCCTTTTCTTTCAATAAATAATTACAAACCCACCAATATATTAAAGCCCGTCTTTTCACACGCTGAAGGTATTTACGCTTTAGTAGATGCCAAGTCTGAGTTATTATTCTTTCTTTACCCTAATGGCTGTGTCAGTGTCAGATGCCTATCGGAGTAAAATAATACATCCCAACCTCACGCTGCTCTTTCTTTACCTTCAGGGGTATTAATTACAAGCGCCTGGCGAGGCAGCGGGGCAGGGTGCGGAGCCGGCAGGGAGCCGGCAGGCAGGCCCGCACCGCCGGCACCGTCTCCCCGCTTCTCCCCGCCGCCGGAGAACAGCACCCGGCCGCGGGCTGGGAACGCGTGTGCCGACGTGCTACGGCTCGCCGGGTTTGGCGAAGACCCTCTGGGACATCGCTACGGCCAGAAAAACCTCTCCTCGGCCTGCCCGCCCGCTCCTGACGGCAAATCGCCGCCGGCTCCGAGGACCGCTCCATCGCCGTCCGCTTCCTCTCCCACCCGAGGGATGAGGAGCAGCGGGGCTCTCCCCGGCTTCGAGCAGCCTGCCCGGGCGGCGGCGAGACCCGAGCCGGAGGGGCGCGACGGTGCGCGTCGCGGCCTTCTGCCCTCGCCGTTCCGCTTGGCCGCCGCGCCGATCGATGGCCCCAAATCCCCTTTAGCCGGCGGGGTGCCCGGCGGTAACGCCACGCTGGGGTCAGCCTCGCTGCTGGAGGAACTGCGTTTTTTATTTCCCTTCCTCTCTGGTAGAGTCTCCTCCCCGGATCCCCGTCTCCGCAGCGAGGCCGCTTTAGGCTTGGGAGGTTTGGGAGCATCTTCCACTGCCCTCTGCCGACACGGGGAGCCGCAGCGATGAATTTTAGCAACCATTTTTCCATAGGGCCGGCTGAGGTTGCTTGGCCTGCTGAGTTTATTTTGTTAAACCCTGGCAATCTGGTTTGGGTTACCCCGGGGGGGGTGCGCGGGGGAGCTGCCCCCCCAAAATGCTAATTCCCCGCAGCAGCAGAGCTGGGGCTGGATTAAAAAGAGCAGAGGGAGAGGTGGGAGAGCCCTTTGCCGTAGCACACGCCATCTCATGGAGACTTGTCCCCTCCGGAGCTGCAGAAGGCTCTTGTGGAGTGGGAAGCGGGGGGTTAATATTGCCGTGGACCTTGAGCCAGGCACAAAACCCACTGAGCAGCAGCTCTCCTGGATGTTGGCTCCACCGTGTCTTGACCGAGCATTTTCTGGTGCCGGCTGTGCCGGGCGTCACTGTGCCTTTCTGGGCTGGGCTGAACACCACCAGTTGGGACTGGGGGGTAAAATTAGGGGGGGGGTTAATGGGGGGGGGTAAAGGGTTGGTCTGGGTGAGCTAGTGGAGGCTTCAACCAGGAGGGAGCTGCAGCCTGGAAAGTTCTGGCAGCATCAGGCAGAAACGGCTCTGCCTGCTGGTATAAGACCAGCTTTTATTTAGATTGGAGCATCGCACCCAGAGGGTTTGCAGCTCTAGAACCACAAGCTGAACGAAAGACTGCGAGAAAAAACAGATAAAGCTGCTCTTCCCTGGTTGCACTCGACGATAAAACACCCTTCCGTGTCCGCAGCACGGCTTTCCTCAAACCCCCAGCCTGCCGGCTCGGTGAGGGACGCACGGATGGCTGCGGCTGAGCCGGGCTCTCCGGGAGCCACGGCTGCCATCCCTGGAGAGCTGGCAGGCAGCACCTCGTGTCACGGCCGACGGGCCTCCGGTTGCCCCGGCAAAGCATGGCTGTCAGCAGCTTGTTGCTTGTCTCCGAAACTTGGTGCCAGCGCCTCTGCCAAAGGGATTGGCAGCTACAAAACGTGTGTGTTTGGTTTTGCAGAAGAGGAGGAGTGACCGAATGGAAATATCTTATGCAAACACCTTGGGAAGTGTCGCGGCAGGATGTGGCCTCGGAGGAGAATACGAATTCCTGGCGGCTCTGTAACCTGGCTTTGTTTTGGTGGGCGTTGCACAGCGGCGTGGGGACACATGAGGCCGTCCTGAGGACAAAAAGTCGCTGACGACGTCTGCTGCTTGGCCGAAAGTGCCGGGAAAACAGCTCCAGTAGCGAGCAGCTCCCGGCAGAGACATTTGCATGCTGGGCACAAGCCTTTCCCGTCATTAGCAACACGTTTCTCTTTAGATTTCAGCCGTAGTTAAGACAGCTGTTACATCTGGCCTGACAGAGGCACCAAATACATCATCCCAGAGGAATAAACAACTCAGGAGCAGCCTGAAGGGATGCGGCAGTGGTCACCCACTGGCAGGGATGCTGGGACACGGGGTCCAGCACCCAAACCTTGTCACGGTGAGAAGGCAGCGAGAGTTCCAGGGCTCGTGGTCCTGCCAGCGCTGCCTTCAAAGGAGGGCAACCCCGACGGCAGGCAGCCGGGCCGCGGGCAGCACTACGGGGCTGCCGCCTGTTATACCCGGCCAAGGCAAAACGCACGCTGTGGCATCCTTTCTCCGCCTGACCTTCCCAATGTTTGGGATCAAAATATTAGAGGTGGCATATTCCGCCTCGTTAGCGAGATTAAAGTCAATTCTGCTTGGTTTGGCTGAAAAATGAGGCAACCCAAAAGCGCTGGTGTGAGCAGAGGGTTTTCGGGGCACAATGCACCATCCAGCTCCGCGTTTGGCTTCGTTTTGGGGGTGGAAATGGCAGCACTGTGTTCACTCCAGCGGCTGCAGGCTGGGTGGGGAACGTGGTCCGGCTCAGCCATGCTCCTGCCCCACCTGATTTACCACGCGGTTGAGCAAAACCACTATTTCTGGCCCAAACAGAGCAATGGGATGGGTCTATGTTGTATTAAAGGGCTTCTGGAGCAGTTTAGCTGCCTGCTAGCCTTCACCGTCCAGGTGAAGAGGTGTGAAGGCACTTTCTGAGAGTGCTTCACTGGTTTTGAGTCTTTCCTTTAAAATAGAAGCTACGAGGACATGTTCCTGCAGAGAAGTGGAAGCTCCTGGCCGGAGCCACCAACCCCAACCACCGTCCAGCTGCCAGCGGCCGCCCCGGCTCTGCCGTGTAACCCCGCGGGACCTCGGCGAGAGGTGCCAGAGATGCTCTGCTGACGGGAAGAGCTCAAGCCGGCGCACAAAGGAGGCAAGGATCCAGCTGTAAATTAATATTTTATAGAACACCAAGAAAAATCAGAGAGGCTAATTACAGCGATAATCATCGCGGCCTGGAGGCATTTCCATGGAAGTCAGGAATTACCCAGGATTACCTCACCCCTTGCAGCAGCCTGCGCGGGAGGTGAGCGTGTGCGGCGGCGGCGCGGCACCCGGCACCTTTTCCTGTGCCGGCTGGGGGTCTGCAACCCAAACCGAAGAGCAGTAGGGTTTTGGCAGCCTCCCGGCATCCAACTCCAGATGCACGGCGCTTGGTTTGCTGAGTTGAGCGTGATGGAGGTTGGAGTTGCAGGGTTTTTGGCTGGTGCTTACCCCGGCACCGCTGTGCCAGCGCGCGCCTGTTTGTCCCCAGTGCCACTGATGCGACTCCAAGTAGGTTAAAAGCCCGAGGTGTTCAGGGCATCGCTAGCAGAGAAGTTTATGGATGTGCCCCCAGGATAAGCTGTTCCCATGGTACGTTAATTAGTGGTGGTAACTGGTAATTGCATAGTTTATCCGGGGACAGAGTAAATTCCCCATCAGCTCCTCAGTTTGGAGGCTGGGGGGCACATCCCAGATCCTGCACGGCATGAGGTTGGCCCCACGCTGTTTGCGGCAAGCCGGGAGCATCTCCAAGAGCTGCGTGGCCAGGAGGGCTGCCTGCTCCTGCCCCATGGCCCAGAGCAAAGCCAGGGCAAACATCTCCAGGGTGAGCAGCTCCCAGAGCAGAGGAGCATCAGTGCAGCTGGTTTGTGCAGCTGAGCTCAAGCAGGAGGGCACTGCCATTCTAAGACCCAATCTGCAAGTGGGAAAGGAAAAAAACTTGGGTAAAAACCCCACGCCTGCTGCGCAGAGCTGGGGAGAGCCTGGGCAGAGGCTGCCTGCACCCTGCCTGAACCCAGTGGCAGCACCCCTGGTACTGGCAGAGACACCAGGCACAAAGCATCCCCTCCCACAGCTCCGGGGTGGGCACAGAAAGAGAAGTCCCTAATCTGTAGAGTCGGTAAAGAGGCAGAGAAGAGCTGCAAGGACCTTCCGTTGACAGACCATCTGCCAAAATGTCCCCTAGCACGTGGCCTGGCCACCACCTGAGGCTGCGGTGAGACAGCGCAGGTCCCTCCCCGCGCACAGAAGTGGAGCTGATGCTCCCCGGCTCCATCCACCTGCGCCAGGAGCAGCGTGCTGCCTTTCTCTGCCCGTCCCCGCAGCGTGTGGACCAGATGGCCGAGCTGCATGGGGCACCCCGGGCACGCTGCCCGCTCGCTTGCCCGTGCCCTCCGAGCTCAGGCGTGCACAGGGGCTGTGAGCATGCTCGCCCGGGTGGACGGGAGGTGGTCCAGGGGCTCCTGGGGCTGAGGCCCGAGGTGGTTGTGACACCCATCGGATTTGCTCCTGGCAGTTTGCGGGTTCATGACGCGCTCACCCGCTCCTGCCAGCTCTGGCAGCACGAATTGCCCCGGAGCTGCTTCAAGCAAGGGCTGGATGTCACCGACGGCTGCGGGCAGGGTCGGGCAGCTCTTGGGCAGAGGGGCTGCTCGCACCTCCTGGCCGAAGGCGAGTCCTCCGAAGCCCTGTCCCTGCGACGAGGTGGTGCCGACGTAGGCTGCGCCGGTCCTGGGAGGAGCATCAGCCTGTCTCACCCCGACCGGCTGCACTTCTGGCCCTGTTCAGGTCAGGGAAAACTTTTCCTTCATTTTTTTGAGATGAAAACACCTCCGGTAGCAGCAGCTCATGCAGCAGCACAGGGACAGCACAGCCCACCAAGGAAGTCCAGGCTGAATCCGAAGCAGCCGGCCTGAGCAGCCAAGCTGTCCCGGCCGCTCGAGGAAGGTCCCTGCGGACACCTGCACGTGGGGTTGGCACCAGAGTGCAGCAGCCAGGGCTGGCGCAGGCTGCAGACCTGCCCGAGCACCTCCGGGCAAGTCAAAGCTGCCCTTATGCTGCTGCCTGCAAAAGAGACGGGCACTGGGACGAGACAAAGCCTTGTGCCAGACCCCTCTGTCCAGCCTAGTGAGTTAGCAGGAGATAGCGGCTGTCCCTTGTGGGATGCTCTGGCCGTGCGTCCGTTCTTGTTTTCTCGATGAGGATGGGGAGCAGTCGCAGCAGCATCAGGGCTGGAGTGCAGCAGCCTGATGCGCTGGGGAATGGGGAGCTTAGCCCCGCTGCCTCCACAGTGCTCGCTGCCGTGCCTTCCTTGGAAACACGGCTTAATCCAGCCCTGGAGCACTCAGTTAAAAAAAAAAAAAATCAAAGCGTGAGTCATCCCACTCCAAACCTCAAACCAT